TTTCCACAAAAAAAATTTAAGTTTGAAAAAAAACGCATAAAAAATTGTACAACATAAAGTTATGAGTTTTTTCATTTTGAAAGTAATCAATTTAACATTTCGCTACGTTAGAATTATCTTGTTCTATCTCCACATTTTTTAGTTTTGAGATAAAACGATTTAAAAAACAAAAACTTTAGGAGACGACGTATAAATTTTTTATAACTTACGTTTTTTCCGCAACTTTTTAACTTATAACTTAGGTTTCAATTCAGTAGAAAGACATTATTTTGTGGAACACAACACTATCATTAACTCAATTTTTTCAGAAAGTGGAGATAGAACAAGATAATTCTAACGTCGCGATTTAAAAAAGTTATTTGCATAATTTTTTTATATGTTAAAATTGTTTTAAAATGCTGAAAAATAATTTAAATTAATGTGTTTTATCCTCATAATGTTGTGAAGTGGTAAGAATATAGGTATCTGTTAACAATAAACATTTTTGGATTTACGGTGCGCTATATCTCAGTTAACGATATGATTATATAAGTAAAACCACGTTGTTATCAACACTGCTCACAAATCAAACACAGGCCATTTATTCGTAAATAAAATTCATTTAACTCAAATTACATAAACAACCGATCGTTTAGCAGCTAATGTTTGCCGCCAAACTCATCAGTTGTAAATTAGTTAATAAATAGAACAAAATGAATCAAGTTATTTTGGAACTCGAATAATAAATCTTGTTTGGTTTCTTGTTTGATTCCGATTCTTATTATGTTGAAATGAAAGTTTTTAAATGAATATTCATTATATTTGAAAATTCCTAATTTTTAGCAAAATGGAAAATCTAAACTAAAATAATTGTTTGATTTTCATTTCTTCAATTATTTATCTAAATTTAATGTCAAGCTTTTTCCTCTAGTCGTTCACGAGAGAACTATTGAATTTTTTTAACCCTTTTCACTCCGTATTAGATCTTTTTCATAACATGTCTGAAACATTTTAAAGCAAGTTTTGAAAAAGCAACTGCTGTTGATTCTAAAACATTTGTCGGATTGTTCTGAATTTTTTGAGCATTTTTTTATGAAAAAAGAAAAAAAAAAAAATTTTAAACCTGGAAAGTCTCTATGGGGCTTTTGTGAATGGCCGTTAAAAATTGATTTTGACCATGGCAAAACCATAATTTTTGACAAAACCATGATTTTCATTGTATTGAGAAATTTTTTACACATTGATTTTATAAATTGTTGTAAATAAGGTAAAATTTAGTTGCAGAAATATTTGAGTAATTTTTATATCTTTATTATTTTTTTTTTGTGCGTCAAATCTTTATTGTTAATGTTAGCCAATCATTGTGTTATGATATTTAAATTTTTGATTTTGAAAAATATTTGCAAATAAACTACATTTTTTATGTAGGACTCCCTAGGGCCGTTCCGAGGGCTAGGGTAGGGGGTGTTTAGCCTCCCTACGAATTTTTTCAGTCGACAAATTAGAACTGGAGTCGGCAAAATTCGATCTATAGTTGATAGTCGGCAAATATCGGAAAACAAGGACCTTTTTTTTTTTTTTTAAGATAAGTTAGCAATCAAAAAAATTTTTTTTGGCTTTTTAAGTCGGCAAAAAACAGACACATCACCCCCCCATCATCAATATATCAAAATAGTTAAGATAAATTTTATGGTAAACGCAAACACAACTATAACGTAGTGATTACAATTACTAAAAGTTCAGTAAATCAGTATAAAATATTTCTTTTAATTCACTCTAGAAAACCACATATTACAGATGTATTTGAGAAATCATTTGCTGACAATAAGCTTTTATTTAATAATATTACAACGGTCTTTCAAATTAACAAAGTTATAACGATCGCGAGTTTTCTAAGAATGTAAACGAAATATAAATATTCGACTTTAAAATGAAAAGGTTTTTTGAAAAAATATTCGCAGTATACAATACCGCTTTAGTGTGTTTGAAGCTTCAGAACTTGCTTATAACTATGAATACCAAATAAAATAAATTACAAAATCAAATTAACTACGGAATATCAAATAAAAAAATGTCAGTTAAAAAGTCATAAAGTTGAAAATTTATTTTTTATGCAAAATAAAAGTTCAGACACTTCCCTAGGGTAGAATGCAAGAAGCGAACTTGAGTAAAATTTGACTTTCAAGTCAAATTTCTTAAGTTAGACTTCAAAAATTAACTTGAATAGTTGAACTTTTGTGGCACGTTCACATTTTACATAAGCACGAGCCAGCCTTAATTTAGAGTTTTTTTACAATGCCTAAATGCGTCAAACAAAAATTTTTTTGAACTTTTCTCTGTGGAGAAAATTCGGATGTATTAATCCAAATTTTAAACATTAGTCATGGATAGCATATTGATGTGTTATTTATAATTCAATTTCAACTGCATTATGTAACTATTTTTTTTAGGATTTTTTCCTAAAAATGTTTTTTAACCGATGATTTTGGGGCTAATTGAGGCATTATACAAAAACTATTGGAAAACAGGTCAGAGATATTTCTTTAATTACAACACAAATTTAGCTCTAATTGATAACTGTAATTCAACAGTATGTTTATTTACAGGTTTAAGTGAAAACATTTTAATTCGTTGAACAATCAGATTTTGGTTGCATTGACTTTATAGATCGCAACTGTTTTCAAATTCACCGCTAGTTGATCGTATACCTTAAATATGGTTCGACTGTACGAAAGGAAAGTAGGTGCCAGAACATATAATGATTTCAGCAATGTCAATTTAAAACTTGCATTCACTGCAGTAAAATCTGGTAAAATGATCTATAAAATCAATAAAGCAACACTCCAGAAAAAAATTGCCAAAAGAAATGACAAGAAACCACAAAATGGGCATCCTACAGTTTTTCACAAGAAGAGGAGAAAACATTTGTCAATTATCTTCATAAGTTATAAGAACTGTATTAAAATTTTATCTTGGCGTACAGTGAAATGTTTCAAAAACAACATGCTAGGTGAAGAGTGGTCAAAGTCATTTGTTAAAAGAAATAGAAAATTGTCAGAGAGATTTAC